AATTTCAATGTATGAAAATACAGCAACAAAATCCCCATTAAATATCAGAGAAATTATTTTATATAATAATTATACACTTCTCTAAGGCTTAAATTAATATTATATTTTACACCTGGAAGTAAGTCAATTTCTACTATAATATTAGGGAAGTATAGATCTAGATCTAGATCTAGAATGACTCCCAAACCAACAAGATCCCAAAAGATAACAAAAACTCATTTGTGTTATTAAGGATACAGAATGCTAATAGTAACAGCCGTATTTATTATTTATTATGTAATCGTAATAATCAAAAACTATTAAAGCTAGAGAAAGAATGAAAAGTCCTGTCATCTTCAAAAATAGCTCAACAAATTAGTCCATCAATCACATATTTTAAATTGAGAATGTATAGTTTTCCAATCCAATGCTAAAAATAAAAAGATGAACAATAGCAAGAAGTTAGAGAACAAGTTGGGACAATATCATGTATGAAATACATTGAAAAACAACGCTTTAAATGGCCCATGTGGGCCAATAAGCCCCAGCTTATTTGCCCATGTGGGCCAATAAGAGCTGCCGATCTCTATAGATCATAATTATTATAATATTATTATTATCTATAAGAATAAATATTATACAGGTCTATAGTGTGTCGGTGTATGTGTGCCAAAGGAGTAAATAAGAGAGTTAAATTAAGAAATAAAGGGGCGCTGTTGTTGTTGTTGTTTGCTGTTTGTTGTTTGTTGTTGTTGGTTTGTTTGTTTGTTTGTTTTTTTTTTGTTGTTGTTTTTTTTGGGGGAGCACTGAACTTCAAAGGGCCAATCGTGCAGAATGCAAAAGTAATAAATAATATTGTGTACCTGTAATGAACTATAGTGCGGTCAAAAATTAGAGGCGCGACTTATTGTCAAATACATGTATCTCCTCGATTATCGAACATAGGTTCTCCAATTTTTGCACATAGTGACTTGTACCAATTTGTCTTAACAGGTCAACATTTTTGTAAACACACACTGTATTCTAGAACATTCCTTAATAAATAGGCCTACTAATTAAAAAATCCAAGTGGGTGGTTTCTAAAGGTTTGTAAATGTTTACAGCTGGGGCAAAGTTGCTATTAATAGCAAGTCCGTCAGGATTTTCTAATCGGGACATTATGCTTATTTATTGAACGCATGTTTGAGAGCCATTAGTGCAAAAATGTGTTCACTATAACTATAATTTCTTGTATCAAGTTTTGCAAGCAAAAATTGTCATTGGTGAGCTGTGGCGTAGGCCATATGCGTAATCAAAATGTGTGTAAGAAGCAGTGCTGTGAACAATACCGTTTTACGTGTGACAGAGATTTCAAGTATTTTATATAAATTTATGAAGAAAAGTTTTTTTAAATCTAGCCCCAATTGTTGTGGAAAAATATGATTTAGTTAAGACAAATTGATACAAACTGCTATGCAAAGTATGGATGACATTGATTCACCGGTGAAAGAGATATTTGACGATAAGTTGCATCGCGAATTTTTTACCGCACTATAGTAATAGCCCAGATACTTTTTACCTTTCCTCAGTTTCTAGACCTTCTTAGAAGTAGTCTGCACGCAGTATTGTCTAACAGACTTTAGTACATTATTTTCTTTCTCCGTAAAAGTTTTTGTCAATACAAGCTTATTAAAAAATAATAATATTATGAAGGCATTCTTTCACTCTTTCGGCGTCATTTATCTCAAAACTATAAAGATCAGTTTAATTCAAACTGACTTAAATTTAAGTAGGCCTATAGTAAATTAAACACATTCTAATCTGTCCTGAAATGCGCCACATGTATAATATTAGGCTACGCGGCCACCTGCTGTACAAACAGCCGCTCCATTTTCTCAAAACGCGAAACATATTTTTCTTTATACTTTTTTTTTGAATAACTCCATTTTTCATCCAATCTTCATGAAATTTTCACAGAATGAAAAGAAGATGTAACACTAAAAATTAGTGCGTTAAATTTTTGATTTATGGAATAAATTTCTGTTGGTGGTGTCCGGAGTGTAGATTTTTATGGATTTTTTTGCAAACTTGAATACTAGATTCTACCTCACGAAAAAATTCATTAAAAATTTTCTGATTCGTTTAGGAAAAAATCAACAAACAAATTTTTAGATCTAGTGTTTGCTAACATGAATGGAAAAAATCAATCAATTTCCATGAAAAATAAGTGCCCTGTTCATTACGTAAGCAACAAAATCCAGTATGGTCGCCGTATCCAAGGAAACGAAACTTTTTTCTCAAATTTGATTGGAGATTTTAAGACTTCTTACGTTACTATGCTTGTTATATGTGCGAGATTTGGTACAATTTGGTCTGCTAAAAGCGAGATAATCTTCAGGTGTGACATGACAAGCGCCATTAGGTGTCTGCTGGACTCCACTATCGAGAGCGCCTATGGCCTAGATCTAGATCTAGATCTAGATCTAGATCTAGATCTAAGAAAAAAAATTACACCACAACACAGCTGGTATTTATGAAACATTTATTGTAGGGGGGGGGGGGACACGAATTTCCTAAAATAGTATTTAAAATGTAATTTTGCTCCGTTGCCACCCTAATTTGATGACGCTGATTTTAAAAAAATGTAGTAATTAGTTTTTGTCTACCGTGAAGCACCAGCTCTGAAATGTTCAAATGACAATTTAAAATTGCCCCCAGTCCAGTCGGGTGACGTCATGCAAACCACTCAACACGAGTTGGTGACGGCGAGACGACATTGAGAGTTCGCGACCTCAGTGCTTTCTTGTCGCATCTCCATTTTTAATAACAGCGAAAGCAGTTCACAACAAAGAGTGAGCTTAAAAACAAGTCACATTTCCACTGTTAAAAAATGGAGATACGACAAGAAAGCACTGAGTTCTCGAGTTGACAGCGAGGCGCTCTTCCCAGTTTTTCGGCGTAGGCCTAATAAGAATGTAGTTTGGATTCCGATAAAACCGACAACGCCGATCGGTGCTTAAAGCCGCCTGCAGTCTGCCAGCTCTATGTGGGGCAAGTTGGAAATCAGAAGGGAATTTTTATACCTATCGGCGCTTACTGAGTCAGTCTGCGAAATCGGCGTTCTCAATGTTTTCGCCCTAAGCTTGCAATGGCGTGGCTTGCTTGGGCTTGCTCTATCACAGTCTCTCTCTCTCTCTCTCTCTCTCTCTCTCTCT